GGAGAAGGACATCATGCTTGGTAAAATAGAGGGTCAGCAAAAACAAGGGAGACCCTCACTGAGATAGACTGACACAGTGGCTGCAACAATGAGCTCAAGCATAGCAATGATTGTGAGGATGGTGCAAGACCAGGCAACATTTTGTTCTGTTGTACACCGGGTCGCTGTGAGTCACAGACAACTTGACAGAACCTAACCACAACAACAGTAAGCAAATGAAAGTTACAGCGGGTATAATATCAGCCAAAGTAGACTTTAGAGCAAAAAATATTACCATAGATAAAGAAGGTTATCATTTAATGATAAACACGTCAACTCATTAAGTGGACATAACAATGTTCTTAGGTGCTGAGTTGATTTTCAATTTATAGCAACCCACATGGCAGAGTAGAGCTGCCCCACAGAGTTTTCTAGGCTCTCATCTTTATGGAAGCAGATTGCCAACTCTTTCTCCAGTGGAGCAGCTAGGAGGGTTTGAACCACAAACCTTTCACTTAGCAGCTGAGCACTTAACCATTGTTTCACCAGGAATCCTTGGACATATCGATCGAAAATGTTTATTCACCTAATAAATAGCTTCAAAATACATGAAGCAAAAACTGATGGAACTGCACAGAGAAATAGGCAAATTTACTTTTATATCCAGAGATGTCACCAATCCATTCTAATTGATAGAGCAAGAAAACAGATGATGAATATCAGTAAGGATGTAGAAAACATAGACAACATTATCTAGTTGACATTTGTACAATACAAGAGTACAATATATGTTCATTTCAAGTGAACATGGAGATGCAGAGCCAAGATGGTGGAGTAGTCAGACGCTTCCTGTGGTCCCTCTTACAACAAAGACCCAAAAAAACAAGTGAATTGATTATATATGACAATTTAGGATCCCTGAACATCAAAGGCAACGTTGAGGAATTGGACTGAGCAGCAGGGGGAAAGAAAGACGGTTCAGAAGCAGCGAAGAGTTGCCAGACCTGACACAGCAGGAACCATCACCCTGCAGCTGGCGTACATGGTGAGTCAAGTAGTGGTGCTCGGGATGCGTTTTCCACATCGGCAGAGACCCAAGCAGCGGAGAGTCTACTCAAGCCTCCAGAACCAGTGAAAAGCAGCGCTCAATCAGCAAAAGATAAGTACATGCTTCTAACCTACCACGTGGATCAAAAAACACCCCCTTTGGGAAAAAACTCTCTCCCATTTACCTGCCCCTCCCTGCTCTGCACCGAGTCGGGGCCAGCTTCAGCCACTGCTCTCCCATGGACCGGAAGTAAGGACCCATCATGTGCCCTGAGCCATTCTCCCAGCCTTGGAGAGGGAACAAATTAACAAACAGGAATAATCTGCCAGCTCCCCTAAGCCAGGAACTTAGGGTAGGCTCAGCTCCTTTGCCTAGGCACAGGCATAAGGGGGTCCATGGACTTTGAATGCCTTTCACCCCTGCACAGACCTGTGTGGGCCCATTTGAACAGCATAGACCCTCATTACCACAGACAACAGGGTATATACCTGAAGCCTAACTTCAACTGTACCAGCTATATGGTGGAGTGGCAAGTTTGTGATATTTGACACCGCTCTGCCCATTAAGCAGGGTCCTCATCTACCCACATCAGGGGCCCGAGGACTGGTGGCTCCACCCACACCACCTAGCCACCCATGACAGGGGTCCAAGAATAAGTGGTGCCCCCCAGTCCTTAGAGCCAACTGCATTGGGTGCTCATAGTCTGGCTATAAAACCCACCCACCTATGCGCTCGAGGGAACAGGGACATGCTTTCCTCCCACTCAGGGGCAGCCATCATCCCCCTGCCTTGCTCAGTGCATGACCCCCTACTGCAGCTAGATACCTGTGCCTACTCCAATCACCCCTGCCCACCTAGGACTGTAGGTGAGAGCCTGCACCACACACTTGGTGACTGACTACCTGAACACCTGAGCTGAATCCATACAAGAAAAGTAAACGGAATCCTGGGCTCACATACCTACTAACAGATCTAACCACCTGGTGACAGGATGTTAGAACTTCCATGGTGCCAATAATCAAACTAGCTCACACAAGCAGCCTATTTGGGCATATCAAAACAAAACAAAACAAGAAGCTAGGACACACCCATGTTCCTCGCAGCACTGTTCACAATAGCCGAAAGATGGAAGCAACCTAAGTGCCCATCAATGGAGGAATGGATAAACAAACTATGGTACATCCACACAATGGAATATTACACAACAATAAAGAACAATGATGAAGCTGTGAAACATCGTATAACTTGGTGGAAGCTAGAACTTATCATTCTGAGTGAATTTAGTCAGGCACAGAAGGACAAATACTGTATAAGACCACTATTATAAAAACTCAAGAAAAGGTTTAAACACACAAGAAAACATTCTTTGATGGTTATGGGGGTAGGGAGGGAGGGTGAGG